AAACCAATTAATCATGACACACAGTGGCTTCAGCTTGACATGCTTTAGATAAGGGATTCAGGCAGGTAATTGTTATTTATGGTAAATATGCGGGAGCCGTGTCATCGTTTCTGTGGAGGAAATACCCGTTCTAGTAGAAGATATGTGCGACATTTGGTCAACAGGACACCAATCAAAAATAGAAATCAAATACGAAAAGAGTGTAAAGCAATTATCCGCACCACAGTTTGCAAACATGCATTCAATGCCTATCGGGATGTTCGCATACACCGCCACGTTTTACACTACGATCGATTAAATGGCGATTGATGTGGGTTTTTTTTTATCAAACCAGATATATTTATTTCATTTGAATAAGTATACAATATTAAATAAACCTCTCCAGGCCTCTGTCTGTCTGATTAGACGTGATAATGCGTGCGATATGCTACACACTCGATTGAAGGAACTCGCATTACACACAATGGCGTGTAGCTGTAGGGATCCAGTATGAAGCTGAAACTGACCAATTATTCCAACAACGAGATGTCAATAAGAATGTTTATTATATTCAGGGAAAAGAACACTTTGTAATTAACGAGGAAATGTTACCGATTTTCATAGTAAGATTTTTATAATTGGATGAAAAACATGTTTGTAGGACACATTCTGTTTACTGTGCTTGGTTTAGGGGCTCAAGCTAGTCAAATAGTAATTGTGTGTGTGTTTATCATTTATTGATTGATTTATTTAATACTAATTTACTATTCATTCTTGTTTGTTGGCTAACATTAAGCACAACTTAACGAGTAGGCTCAACGCATAAGATTCTTGTTTCAGTTTTCATAACACATATCAAAGAAATGCCTGGACATGTTTTGGCGGTATTCTTGTAGAAACAGTTTTGTGATGTCGGTCTGACGATGGGAACTGCAAGTCTCTAACATGCAAATTTTATGTTTTAATCTAACAAATGAGGAATTATACCACTACCTCCATATAATTTGATATATAATTTTATTCACTGTGTTAATGTAAATTTCAATTCATTTTAGATGTAACAAGACATTTGATTGGTTAATCGAAATAATTTTTGACGTTATGACCACAATTTGCCTTCAACAAATTACTCGTTTACATATATTTCAACAGTATGAAGCTCGGGTGGCATTAATGACCTCAATGATCCCGACTGTCCAAAACAAATCATGAAATTGATATTGAATAATGTCACTCATAATAGCGTGTCCTCGAAAAGTCAATGTGGTTCCGCCTCACTTTGAATGAATCTGACGTCACCAATTCACGACAGAGTCCCAAGATTTAAAGAAAACACACAAAAACATTTTAAAATCATCGTTTATTTCGGCCATTTAAGCTGATATGAACTAGTATGGTGATAAACCTACTTATTTTGAGGGGTTTTAAGGTGTATCGTGATTATATTTTCCCAAAGATATGTTTTATGACCAGGTGCTCTGGAACGGTAAGCATTTCCTGTACCGCATATCACAACTATCGTGATATCTTCCGTCAAAACCAAGGGAAAGTATTTGAGTCACCAACGATTCAAAACGCAAGGAACACGTTATTAGTCATGCTTAACATAGAAATGTTATTTTTAATATAGTTTTTTTATGTATTTGAAAATAAGGTAATAGATTTATGCCTCTTAGGTAGTTTTTTGGTCGAGAGGACGTAGCTCTGGAGTCAAGAATAAGCAGTGGTATTTTAAGCACACAAGACCTACGGTACAGATTGTATTAAGTCATAAGTAAGAGCTATTTATAAGCAATAGCCGGAATGAAAAAGTCGTGAAACCAGTACACTGTAGTAAAATTTAAAGGTCAATTCTAAACTGTAGTAAAATATAAAGGTCAATTCTAAACTGTAGTTAAATATAAAGATCAACTCTAAACTGTAGTAAAATATAAAGATCAACTCTAAACTGTAGTAAAATATAAAGGTCAATTCTAAACTGTAGTAAAATTTAAAGGTCAATTCTAAACTGTAGTAAAATATAAAGGTCAGTTCTAAACTGTAGTAAAATATAAAGGTAAATTCTAAACTGTAGTAAAATATAAAGGTCAATTCTAAACTGTAGTTAAATATAAAGATCAACTCTAAACTGTAGTAAAATATAAAGATCAACTCTAAACTGTAGTAAAATATAAAGATCAATTCTAAACTGTAGTAAAATATAAAGTTCAATTCTTAACTGTAGTAAAATATAAAGGTCAACTCTAAACTGCAAAATTATCATAGTTAGATACGGTGTAATACGTCTGGTTCACGAATATCGACTTTTGGTCAAATCCATTCTGGTTCGGGTTTTACAATTTTCTATTTTTGAATTGAAAAGGAATTCATCATCATCATTGGTTGTTATGAAACAAGACTCCGGTTCGTTTTTATTTTCACAGATTATTTTTTTTGTATTCAGACTGTTTGCGTGTTTCAGTTCCAAAGGAATTCAATCAAGTTTACAGATCACCTTTATGAGTGGCGTGCAGGCTACCAGACTAGCCGTACTCACTAACACCATCACGTCTTGATCTATTATTCCGATCACGCACGGCAATGCCGATATTTCCAATTCGTTTATCAAAGTGATTTATATGCAATATATAATCATTTTATGAGGCTTGTTATCTTCTGCAACATAGTGTTCCTTGGAGCGTGTAGCATGTGTTAGGAAGTGGTCAGAACTATATTTGGTACGAAACGCTGATATGTGTAGATGTTAATTTTTAGCAACGCTAACACCTTCCATGGCCACTATACGCTTACTGTCGTAATGTAGATTGTATAGTTTTGTTTATTGTATATAAGACGGTTCAATAATCAGTAAAATGATAATCCATGTTTTAAATATGCTACACGATGTGTTTTGTTTGGTTACTCATGTTGTCTTCCAGTTTTTATTGAAGTCAGATAAATTTCTCTAATTTACCTATTTAGTTGACATAATTGTATTAAATATGCATATATAGCATCTTTTTATGTATATCTGTATAGTTGTTATCGTTACAAACAGGACGCACACTTAACCTTGTCAAGTAAACAATATATCTGCGTATGTCTTACTCCAATCATTTTCGCAAAAGATCACTAACAGCTAAACCTACAACTGCTAGTGCTACAGAGTGGAACTAGCGCTAGGGTAATACTAAATACAGCCGTTTGTCAATGTCTAATTGTGTTTTACTTTATTTAAACAATTAAAACATCAGACCTTAAAGGAGGTGGATCCTGATCGGTCCAAGAGCCCACCAACTTTGATTTTTGCCATGTAAAATTACGTTTGTTGAGATGTCCCCTTTCGGGACCAGATCCCACTGGTTTTGACGATTTTTCAAGACAAGTTTAAAATAGGCACTGGAGATTCGTCTTACGAATTTGGATTTGATGGTTTAAGAGGGGAGTACTAGTTTCAAGCGTATATCGTTCGGGTTCAATATTAAAACCTCTAACCTAATGTTAAGATGTTAGTGACATCAATTTTCTGTTGCTGAAACAGCATTCGTGGTTTTATTTCATATTGGTCATACCTTGCACAAAGAAAATGGGTTGAATAAATTAGTTTTGATCGTACCCTTCGAGCGTTAATAACAACCGTTAATGTCATCGGAATACGATAACGGTAGGGGTAGCACTAGAGGTTGTTGTATCGGAGACTACACAAACATCTTACCGTGTCATGTAGAATAACAAAACCATAAAACAGACTACAAAAACAAACATCCTTTCGCTTCAGTAGATGATCTAGACACACGGGGAACTATAATTAACAACAAAAACGTATGAAAACATTAGATATGTATATGCTGATTTATAAATGTCACGTGTGAAAGTGCTATTAGCATGTCTAGACAATACACCGGAACATTCGTATACGACCGTCTCGTTATTGGCCAGTGTTATGCACAGGATACAGCTACAGGGATTTCCACTTTACAGACATTCATGTATATTCAACGGAACATTTTCTACCTTGGCTCGACTTTAGATTTTACAATCCAATCAACACACATAGAAAGAATCTATTCCAAAGAAAATTTACATCCAATATCTCTAAAATATAGCACAATAAAGTGCACGCAACATTAAAAGCGCATCCATTGTTTCAATGTCAGGCGTATACTTGACGAGTGATATAACGTTATATCTAACAAGAGGTAGTACATGTACTGTTGGAATGAAAAATCTAATAATCAAACCTCTAATTGCTCAAATGTTTCACTTAAAATTATAAAATAGCAAACACAGCATGATAAAAAAAGTTTTATTTAGCTTTTTCTTTTCTCATAGTTGCATGCATCAAATTTGGTGTACAAACATATAATGAGGAAATTACGAAGACGCATGTTATAAAAGAACGATGACATTAAAAACAAGTACAGAAATAGAAAATTCCACATGATGATGAGTGAAGAGAGACAGGTCAGTAGAGAGACGGGTCAGTTAATTGACGAGTCATCACAGAGGAAGGGTCAATAGGCTAAATACGGTTGTTATATACCAATGTGAGGGGTCAACAGGATAACCATCAATACTTGTGCCATAAACATTTCCAGGTTCACTTCATACAATTGCTCATTTCAATCAACCTTCATTATTTCAACTAATAGTAGCTTGTAAAAGATGTCAAGAACAGAGCTTGATTAATGCTGATAGTTTATGTAAATGGAATCGATTGTCGATTCAATGCTTCATCATCAGTGTTACCTTGACAATCGATAACGTCGCCAGCACGGGTGTGTCCGTGTGTTTGGTAGTGTAACATCAGAGTCGGCAAATGTTTCCGAGTGCCACAACACAGAGAAATGCCTTAAAACGAGTTGCTGATTAACCGTGGAATATTCTGGATTTCATTATAAGGATAAAGATCTAAGTGAAAGAATATGGAACCGTTTTAATGTGTCGGAGCATTTTGCAAACAGTTAGGTGTTTTTTGAAAAGTTTGTTCCTGTGCAAAGCAAGGATTTACTATACGAATAATAAGATTAGAATACTTGTACCCTGTTTGTAATAAACACGCGGATAAGTACCAAGCGGTGGACAAAGTATACATATGAAAACGACAAACAAGGTGCTATAGGGTAAGATATTGCTATTTTTTAATCTAACATACATATGAATGTCTTACTGTTCACCTATTCCATAGTTTTATGTTATCAGGATTTTGCGAACATTTCTGTTTTTTATGTACTGACACTGATTGATACTCTTATTATATGGTTTTGTCATAATGAAGAGTTTTATGATAGCTATGACGGGTAGTAAGGTCCGTGGATGTCTGCATGACTGTGCACATCAAAAAGTTCATACTTTTGTTTGCTTGCATGACGAGTGCAATTCTAAGCAGACGTAACACAACAGAAAATCTATTGAAAATAATGCAATTATCGAGTACAGACATAAGTGAAGTCTTACCAATTCTCGTCTGTTTTTACAATACATTAATTACATTTGTTATATACCGTGTTTTTGATCCAATTCGAAAAGATTTGTCTTTGAAATGCAGTAAGAATTTTCAGACATTCAAAACCTTGACATTAATTATTTAATACGAAGTAATAAACTTGTGTGCGTTACATTACTCAAATTATTTTTTTCTAAGGAATCGTCAGATATCAATGCCTTCCATTTACAGCAACCGACAATATGAAGACGGTAAGAAAGTTGCACTCACTTATATGGGCTGGATATCCAGTTGAGTAATCACAATGTTGTGGACAATTGTGGTTTTCAGTAAGTTGAATTTTTAACTCATAAACGCATTTATTAGCAGAAATTTTACTTAATTTCACTACCAAATATTGTTTATATTATTTGCATATATACTGCATTTATTACACTTACTTGCGAGATTCTTAAAATCGCGGTCCATTCTTCTCGTAAATAAGGCGAAATAATAATCTCATGAAATATAGATTGCATCCCTTGTAAACATGTGTCGAAATCAATACTCGATAACGAATGTTTAATAACGCAAAAAGAAGTCTCATAAACTAAAAATAAATACACACATTGATTTTTAATACATCGTCCTCACAAGAAAGAGATTTTGGTGCAATAAATATATGTCTTCTGTTCATAGGTCTGCTGTGTGTTGTGTGTGATCATATTCAATCCTGGGTAATTGAGCCGAGCGTTTTCACAGTTTACCGGACCAAACACTCATGGAATGAAGCGAGACAAATATGTGAAAATAACAACAATACTCTCCTTACTATACCGGATGAACACTATTGGACCTTTTGGAAGTTTGTGTTGTAAGTATTACTCCTATTTTGAGAATACAGTATGTATGTTATCTTTCTAATACAGCTAAATACCTTGATGTCTTTTTTTGATAACTTAATATATAAAAGCACATCGTGTTATTATCGAAATTCAGCGTAGTTATACCATGGTTTGCTCTGACCAAGAAGAAATGTAACCCTGCTACCTTTGCGATATTAATTAATTTGGGAATTTAGTTTCCAACTTCCCAGACCATACGTAAGTGCACCAAAATACACTGTATTTTTAGATAATTGGAATTGACAATATCAAACACTTGAACTTCAATCTGGACTTATTCTACATTGAATATTTCTGTGTCTCACACTTTTAATTTCTGTTGGTATTTAGGAATTATCCCATATATGCCTTCACGATTGATAAAATAATTACTACATGTATTAAGCAATATGCAGTTTTGCCACAAAAGACATACTCAAAAGCTGAATGTCAATTAATGTATAAATCACGCTTGAGATCATCTGTACATAGTTTTCGCTCTTTCATGAGCATAGTTTGTGTGTATGTACCGCTTACCAAAATTAAAACATAAAAGCCCTTACGTAATAAAACTTCGAGCAAATCCACTTTGTCTGTTTGCCTTCATCGCAGCTCTCTGCAATTCTCAATGAACGTTAACTAGGCCGATCAATCACTACCGCCTGGGTCTATCGATGCAAGGAGATGTCCACATGGCGCTAATTTTGTATTGAACACAAACACCTGTCAATAAACATAATGGTATAAAACGGACAGTATCAACAAAAAATTACAATAATTTAATCCCGAAATTGATACACATTTGCATATAATCTAGCGTCCATGTCAACAATGTCATTAATCTCCTCTGACGAAATGAATTGGAACTATGCTTTGCCACTAGATTTATATGTGTTAGGCACTGTAGATTTTAAACGATCACCGCCAGCAGAATTGCTAAAAGTACATTTGGAATTAAATTCTATTTGATTCTATTCTAAGCAACAAAATCGTTCATTAAATGAAGATACATTACCTGATATGTGTATAAATTTGCATAAAGGGGCAGTCATTACTATCATATTTGTCATTTGCTATATATACATTCAAAAGGTGAAAGGGTTTATTCCAAAGTCAGCAAAATTATAACTAAGTGTGCTATTGTGACATCAAATTTCAATCTGTCAATAGATTTCATAATAATCTATGATATTCTTTGAAACTATTTTCCTTTTTGATGCGTGTTAAAATGATACAAATGTAACAGACTGATTTTCGAAATTTATCAAATGGATCGGTACCACCCAACGTACAACTAACTGAAATAAGCTAAAATACCAAACAAATCTGTATAATACCACCACGTTGGAGAAGAGGGGGAAGTCAAAGTCAATGTCGGTAGGAAAAGGACGACAACACCGTAGGGACACCAAAACAGTGAAATAATGTGCTTCAGGAGTGTAAGCATTTCCCGCGACACATGTGGCCCAATTTTTTGTCTTTCTGTACAATCCAGGAATTACGTCAGCACCGATATACATGTACCTCACTAAGATCCTGACTTAATTATTGAACGTTTTGTCGCATAAGCAAGTTTGATTATATGCTTTCGTGTAAAAATATATGAAGCATAGTATTTGGTGTATGGTACGCTATTGTTCTTATAAGAATATTGTAAGCTACTATTATTGTAAGAAATATGTGAACGTGGTATTTGGTGTATGATAAGCTATTGTTACTGTAAGAAATATGTGAAACGTGGTATTTGATGTTTGGTAAGCTATTGTTATTGTAAGAAATATATGAAACGTGGTATTTGGTGTATGGTAAGCTGTTGTTATTGTAAGAAATATGTGAAACGTGATATTTGGTGTATGGTAAGCTATTGTTCTTGTAAGAAATATGTGAACGTGGTATTTGGTGTATGATAAGCTATTGTTACTGTAAGAAATATGTGAAATGTGGTATTTGATGTATGGTAAGCTATTGTTATTGTAAGAAGTATGTGAAACGTGGTATTTGGTGTATGGTAAGCTATTGTTCTTATAAGAAATATGTGAAACGTGGTATTTGATGTTTGGTAAGCTATTGTTATTGTAAGAAATATTTGAAACGTGGTATTTGATGTTTGGTAAGCTATTGTTATTGTAAGAAATATGTAAACGTGGTATTTGGTGTATGGTAAGCTATTGTTACTGTAAGAAATATGAGAAACGTGGTATTTGATGTATGGTAAGCTATTGTTATTGTAAGAAGTATGTGAAACGTGGTATTTGGTGTATGGTAGGCTATTGTTATTGTAAGAAATATGTGAAACGGGGTATTTGATGTATGGTAAGCTATTGTTATTGTAAGAAGTATGTGAAACGTGGTATTTGGTGTATGGTAGGCTATTGTTATTGTAAGAAATATGTGAAATGTGGTATTTGATGTATGGTAAGCTATTGTTACTGTAAGAAATATGAGAAACGTGGTATTTGATGTATGGTAAGCTATTGTTACTGTAAGAAATATGAGAAACGTGGTATTTGATGTATGGTAAGCTATTGTTATTGTAAGAAGTATGTGAAACGTGGTATTTGGTGTATGGTAGGCTATTGTTATTGTAAGAAATATGTGAAACGTTGTATTTGATGTATGGTAAGCTATTGTTATTGTAAGAAATATTTGAAACGTGGTATTTGATGTTTGGTAAGCTATTGTTATTGTAAGAAATATTTGAAACGTGGTATTTGATGTTTGGTAAGCTATTGTTATTGTAAGAAATATGGGAAACGTGGTATTTGGTGTATGGTAAGCTATTGTTCTTTTAAGAAATATGTGAACGTGGTATTCGGTGTATGGTAAGCTATTGTTACTGTAAGAAATATATGAAACGTGGTATTTGGTGTATGGTAAGCTATTGTTCTTGTAAGAAATATGTGAACGTGGTATTTGGTGTATGATAAGCTATTGTTACTGTAAGAAATATGTGAAACCTGGTATTTGGTGTATGGTAAGCTGTTGTTATTGTAAGAAATATGTGAAACGTGGGATTTGGTGTATGGTAAGCTATTGTTACTGTAAGAAATATGTGAAACGCGGTATTTGGTGTATGGTAAGCTATTGTTATTGTAATAAATATGTGAACGTGGTATTTGGTGTATTGTAAGCTATTGTTACTGAAAAAAATATGTGAAACGCGGAATTTGGTGTATGGTAAGCTATTGTTATTGAAATAAATATGTGAACGTGGTATTTGGTGTATGGTAAGCTATTGTTACTGAAAAAAATATGTGAAACGCGGTATTTGGTGTATGGTAAGCTATTGTTATTGTAAGAAATATGTGAAACGTGGTATTCGGTGTATGGTAAGCTATTGTTATTGTAAGAAATATGTAAAACGTGGTATTCGCCGTATGGTAAGCTATTGTTATTGTTTTTTGGAATTGCTTTATTGTTTCGGGTCAATATACTTTGGGCTGAATTGTACCTATTATAAACATATTATAAATGAATTCCATTAGACCATTTTGTCACACAAACATTGGAACATGTATAGAAGGTTCAACGTTGCTTTTGAATTTACATTGAACGTGTGTTTTCATTATTGAAGTTCACCAATAGAAAGCTTTACTTAACATGATTTCCGGTATAAAGTGAATGTTTGTTTACCAACCGTTTACCTATTGTCCCTGCCGTAGCTTTGTTTCTGTGGGATTGATAAGCTGAAACGTACTAACTATTGTGATATATCGAATACTTACGTATATATACACATACAGATAGTAATGTAATGTTGGAGCAATTATTGAAAAATCTGTAGGAAATTAAAACTGTTTTTTGATAGAACACTGAATGTGTGTATAAAGCTGACCTGTGTGCTTGAAGTTGTTCCTAGTTGAAGTATTATACAGCAGGCTAGCAGCAAATACACCGGGCACCCGTCAGTCTACCCTGGGTTCACTGCCCGGCTAACAATGTTCAGAGGTGTCAGTATCACCCACTTCTTAGTGATTCTCGATAAAAACTACTTTGTTAATACATTGGGTGAGGCTTACCGACCGAAAAAACTACAAGAATGTTAATAATTGAGTACATATCACAAGCAATGGGGAAATGATCGAAACCAATCCTACCTAACGGCCATAGTTTATAACTGCGATACTGGTTCATGTAAAGGTCGTGCGTTTATTCTGCTTGGCTGGTCAGATCCGGGTCTATTTCCGGACTAATGGACTTCCCGCTAGGCCGATTATATATCAATACCAAGTCTGCGTGCATCATCACATCAGCATAGAAACAAGACAATAAACATGAATACATATGCAATAATTTCAGATAACCAGTTGTGTTAAATGATAATGAAAAGAAAAGTGTGTAATTCTTTATACAGGTGTGATATATGAAAGTGGGTATCCATATTATTGATGGTTCTTCATAATTGGTCAACAAACTGAGACTTAACCTTTCTGGGCACTTCGACCGAACAAAAATGTGTTCTACATGAGCTACGGAAATAAAATCTATAGAAAAATTAACATTAAGATCGCTATAGAAAACATAAGCAATGCCTCTGTGTCTGACGTCACAGATTGCACACGTCTTTGTGTGGAGGCACGCGTACACGAATATGTGGAGCACAAGAGTTGGTGTGTATGATATATGCCTGTGTAATAAACGAATGCTATTTGTGACACTCTTCCGGGGCATGGGTGTGGTGTTTCCAATATAGCGAATTCACAGTTGTACTTTATATTCAAGTTTGAATTTCTGTAAAACAATATAGAGGATTTTTCCCGAATCAATGTTTAATGTACTTCCCGACGACTCGAACCAAACAAAAATGGCGGACAGAATAATGAGTTCACATGAGCAACACACTAATTGGCGCCAAGATATTCCGAACAAAATGTTCGATCCGATATTTCACATGTTTGTAAGTTAGGACCGTATCTCTGTAGTAAATAAAATGGTCTGTTTCTTAATTTTGCGATAACCGATATGTAAATGACGAACATATCAGAGCGAACAATGTGTAAATACTATTACACTCTAAACACCTTAATAAATAGAGTTACAAATTGTAACGTGTCTATAAGTTTCATCGATTTTTATATATTTGTTAACGTGTATTTTCAAAACATTTTATCATTTGTATAATGTTTGGATATTCCAAATAAGAATCTTATTTTATGGATGCATTGTGTTCTTTTCAAAATGTATCTTTGTCACATCAATGCACCCAAAGATAAATCTCAGGACTGTATTGTTACTTAAACATAATACGTGGTTGCTAAGCAGTTTCGGTGCATAATTCTGTATACGTTTAACAACACTCACCTAAAAAAACGTAACCTCTCTAAGCATTTTAGTCAAAGTTGATTATTTGTACTGAAATTGTATACCAACACAAATGTTTAACTTTCTTTTCCTTGTTGTAAGTAAGAAACAACATGCTCATCTAACCTGTTTTCCTATTTTAGGAACCCCGAGGGAGAAGCCCTTTACAGGAACATCGACAACTCCAGGTATTGGTTCGGTCTCCATGCTCCAGACCCAAATAATAAGACGTCACTGGTGTGGGTTGATTGCGACATCCCCTCGTGGATAGAATGGACTAGCGCTGGCCGTAATTATGAACCAGAACATCAATGTTTAGCTTTCGATGTTTACTTCAAACCATTTACTACTATTCTTCTCAAAATCTGGCTGGCAGACAACTGTCCCACAGACAACTATTTTGTATGCAGCGAACCATTAAGTAGTAAGTTCTAAACATCCAAATGCGTATACCATTCTTGCAATGCTTACAGAAAGATATTACTCAATTCAAACACTTTCAGACATTTGTACAAGTGTCGTTTTATTAAAGAAAATAATAGATGGAGTATTTAGTATTTAGAAATAAAGTCTTATCTTATAACTACTCACTAATAGTGTTAATTCTTTTACATAAATACACTTAAGATTTGTTGCTCAAGGAGGATATCTTTGTATTGAAAACAAACCCCTTTGCACAGGTTGAGTAGTTAGAAACTGTCTACATTATCTTCTTTATTCTTTATGATTTTCTTTTACTTATTTTAGTATTTGAAAGATGTAAAGATTTAGGCTGTTTTTCTAGAAATTGTTTTCGAAGTTAGATTTGAAATGTGTCCAAATACAACACCATTAGCTTATATATTGTACTTTATGCTATATCGTCATTTAAAATATGTAACAACAATCAAATGAGGATAGAAACTGATTTGGTATAATGACGTCATTATCAAGTGGAAAGTGATATTAACAAGGTTAAGAAATTTAACAATGCTCAATATTTCTGTGAATACTTTTCTCAAGAGAAAATAACCAAACAATAAACATTGAAACCAAAACATTTAAACTGAGTGTAGCTTTAAGCATTCAGACAATATGTGGTTGTGTCAATCGAAGAAACATATTAACTAACTTTGGATTAAGATTGATAATACCATGTGTTTACCTCCATAAAAGCAAATAAAATACATAATCAATATAAGTGTTATACCGGAACTAAGTCCAATTGCTGTCTCCACTGTAATGACGTATTGTCATTTTAATCAATATTGAATGTTGACGTATCCAAACAGACTGATGACGTCAACATTGTTTTGCTTCGTTTATAATGTGATCTATATGATTTAAATAGTGAACAATTAATGAGACATGCGTCAATATAATATGTCATTCTAAATATGGGGTTAAATGTACAAGCATTATTAGTGCCCATTGTTTATCGGACAAAAAGAGTGTAAGACCATTAACACAACTGATGCCCAAATTGATCAATAAAATGTTTAACAATTCTTGTCAAGAAATATATATCACTCTAATATATATTTTAGGCATACAATTACATTGTTTACCTGTATTTATTTAATTCGTTAGGTATATACAATAGTCTACCAGGTACTCTACAATAACCATCTGACAGCAGCATATCTCAATGCTACAATACAGGTATTAGATAAAAGATAAGATGGTATCCCCTCATGAGACATAACATGGCCTGTTTATAATGATTTCACTTCTTCCCAAACATAGAGTCGTTATACCTAACCAAGGCAAAATAGGATACCATCAATGCACATGTTCAAATCCGAACTCAAAATAGTCAATTAGAGGTAAGGAGGTAAGGAACACTGATAAAACAAAACGTTAACGTTTCCTGTAATAATTTGGTACATGTATACGTACCATGACATATCGAGGGAAATCCAGGAAATGCAGGTAACCGACAATCTTAGACATGGCTAAAAGGGAGATATCTCCATGTATATTTTATATCTCATTAGGTCATTGAGATATCTACAGTGACGTGCCATAAGTCTTTCACGTTACGTCATTTTACCATTAGATTCTAGGTTAATTTACTTTTTGAAAATTAATTTCCCTGACTTCATGACACTAGGCACACAGCTATGAGCTTTTCTAGTTCTCCTCTTTGTTATATTAAAGTTATTATCATATAATTCTTAACAAATATATATGTCTTTCTGATATAATCTAAATTATATTAGATATCCTTAATTCATTTAAAGGTATACATATTTCAATAAAGATTTCTCTTTTTGAAAAGCAGATATCTCTAATAGTTTCTTGATTTGGGCATAAGATGTTTATTTAGTTCAGAATTAGAAATCAATTAGTTACCACGTAAAATATCTTCAGTTAAGTTATTAAGGTAATGAAAACCGGTTAAACAGATCATGATCTATGTTTTTATTCTTTATATTCCATGTGTAGGTGCAGATGGCGCGTGTATTACCCATGGCTGTGACGAGTATGTCCGAGTCGTCACTGATAACAATCAGTGTATAGACATGTGCCAGAGCTACCCAGAATGCCGTACTAACTTTACAAGCATTTCCGGTTTGGGGATTTGTCATGTTTTTAACGTAACAGCCAACCAGAGCTCGGCATTCTATCGGATGTGTTTGTTATATGGAAATAAAACAATAAATACCTGTTCCAATGATAACGGTAAGCCACGTTCGAGTATGTCTATTCATAAGATGGAGGCACGGACGCCAGGCTCGTGACCGAAGGCTTGCGGGTTCGAGTCACGGCACGGCACTGTGTTGTATATTTGAGCTTTACTCCACTTGTTCCAGTTTACTCACCTGTAAATGAGTACGTGGTTGGGCAGTGCTAGAATTGTTGAATGCTAGCTGTTAGCGCCGAAATGGCAGCTCCGGCTGTATGCTCCCCAGGGAGCTGAGAAAGATATTGGCTGGTTGCAAAGGCCATATAACCACGGATAACAATTTGTGAACCGACGAACTAGGTGTCCATGTACTCATGTATGCTTAAATAAATCCATGGTATTCATATAGTTTCTTTTTCTTGTCTTATTTGGAGTCGAATCTTATATCTGGTGTTGATTTTCACAGAATGACTATCAGAAAATCGACAAAAGTATATCTATTAGACAAAACATTTTAAATGGTTATTGTGAAGTGTCGAGTTCCAACTCTTCTCTGCAATATACTGGCATTGAAAAGATTTTGGGAAGTTATCCTAAATAATGTTGAAAGTACTAGCATACGCAATATCGTACTTGGTAGTGAAGAGGATAGTCGTCTGCTTCATAATCAAGAAATCAAGGGATCAATTTAACTATAAGAGTTGAACAAATCAGGATCCTACATCAGAACTCCTTCCATTGATGTTAGTAAAGATTGAGTTATATGTTTAATATATAAAAGTCGTTTGATCTGTTACAGGGTTCGGTGATACCAGTAACATAAACAATGTCGATCCGTATCCCACTGGCATCTGTCTCCCAGAGGAGACAACATCGGTACAAAGTACTTCTACAGGTACGTAAAAATCCAATGTATGAGAGTCGTATTAATTATCTTTCAAAAACTTGTTAAATGAAGTACAAGTTGGTCGATGTCCTTGCTGGTGTATCATAATAAGTTACCGAAAGTTGTATCAGCCTAATTGTCAACGTGTACTGATATTATTCGTAGAAATTCCATTTACAAGTTTATACATATTCAAATAGATATCACAAGAAGGCTTCGGGGCTGATCCCTGTCTAATTGTTTTCCCACTTGCTCACGTTTGGAAATATTGGCGTTGTGACTTTTTGAATTGATTACAATGGATCTGAAATCTTTATATTCTTAACATCTTTAGTCGGTACTATTTATAAATATATACAGTTTTAAGGCGAAAAATGCTGCGAGCAGATCACATCGCGAAAATGTTCAGTTTTACGTTAGATTATTTTCCTTATATTGTTCTAGTGTTACTTGTTTGATCCCCAATGTCTGGTGAACTTTTGTATTTTTAGTATTTTGATCCTAATAGTATTTTGTTGTTGTTGTTGTCGTTGCTGTCTATATAAAAGGTCATATTAAAGGTCTTCGTATTTTGAAAACATTTTGGTAAAAATACACCCGAAAAAACCCTGAGCTTGTACAATCTTAACATTTCTTCCGACATTTGCGCTTCGTACGTTTGATGAGTATGATGATCGAGTTATCAAACAGCTTACATCATGTTTACATCTTACATAAAACCACAGGTACTAGCCTCGTCTTACTATACACCCATAATATAAACCATTATGGGTGTAAAAGTGAAACAGAAAAAGTACACTCAACTTATTTGATAAAGTTACAGTGCACCACGCTTATTTTAACTCCTGTAGTTTGATCACAGGTACTAGCCTCGTCTGTCAATACGCCCATAATAGTTTATATTTGTCTGTGTTTTTTTTAAAGCAGACGAAACAAGTGCTGCTGACATGACAACTACTGATGTCCTAACGACTACAGAGGTGCTCCGAACGACGACAACGACATCGACATCCCAACCAATGTGCGTGTGTCCCTGTAGCATTGTTAACGGACCGGAGCTCACGATTGAAGAGAAAGTTGAATTACTGAAGAAGGAACTCACGGTAAATAAGAAAACCACTTCCCTCCACAAACGCAAGTTTATCAGTGCGAGTGACGACAGAATATCAGCAACGGGGATCGGGTCATTTGGCGTAGGGATGCTTGCCATAGTCCTAATATCTATCTGTATCATGGACCTCGGCACGCTGAAGGCAGACTTTCACAATATGTACAATAATGTGAGGAGCTGCTGCTGTAGGAACAAGAAAGAAAGTCGCGTCCGTCACGTGCGCCATGATGATCCGTCGATTCCAAAAGTGAGATTGTTTACAGATTCGAGTTGTCCTGTTGTTGTGAGCGCTACTACGTCCCCAACTCATCAAAACTTTAAAGACGACATATCTTTGCAACGGAATGATATGACAATGCTTTCTGTACCCACAAACAATGCAATTGCCAAAACGCAAAACCCGAATTCCTCGTTAAGCAGCGGATCGACGTCGTCAATGACAATGGGGTCAAGAAGTTCTTCAAATAGAACAGGAACAGACCAAAGTTCAAATAATTCACCTGAACATCATAGCTCTTTATCGATACAGTCTTCAAGCACTTCAGGAAACGCTTCTAGAAAGTCCTTGGCAAGATCCTCCTCAAAATCGCCTATGAATAAGCACATGAACCCATGTTATAATGATGTACCACTGTGTAAGTCATCTAATGACGATCATGAAGCAGATATGCTCCCAAACAGAATAATAAGCACAGAACTTCATGGTAGGCATTTACATAGGAGAGACAACAGTAAGGAGCCGATTTGGCTTCGAATGGTTTGATTTGTGAAACGTTCAATAGGCACGTTGCTCTCGAAAGTTCTGTGTACTCTGACGCATGTGTTGTGCAGTGCTGAGAAGTATTGTTGTTTTCTAACCAAACAATATTGTGTTTGAAACATATTTTGTTAGCGAGTTATCTGTGGATAAAAAACGGTGAAATGTGCAACTACCAGACACAATTTAAATAAGACCGTGAAATATTGTTTGTTTGGTTAACTTCCTGTCTTGTGCCTGCAGGATTATATGCAATTGCTATTCATTTGACATTGATAGACATCGCTGTTGTGATCTATCCGGTCAGATAGTGTCCCGCTTTCTTCTTTGTGAGAGCTGGTTGACACAATACGGCTGTCGTATCAGATGAAAGGACATGATTGCATCGGATTAGCACGGACTCGTGTTGATGTAATGGGTCTTGAAAAATCGAAATCAACATTGTATTGTGCTGATTATAATATTTGAACGATATATATCTAGTTTTACCTATTTAACTTGGTTTTAATATACTAAATCGACCCCTATACTCATTGAACATGCATCTCAATTCTTTGAAGTGGAAAATTGCCTATATACAACCGATATTTGGTAAGGTAATGTCCCTCATGTGTCCTGACAATGTACCACTGTTAACTTACGTGAGCATTATCTAAACATTACAGATACATCGTTAGGCACGTCTCTTTGGTGTCCAAAATCAGAATGCTTTCATGGTTTTCAATTCTTTTAAATATATATATTAGGTAAGAAAGTGAAAATATCTCATTAACCTCCGGTAACTGTGTTCTCACTCCATGAGTTCAGTTACATACTGTAGGTCTATAGTAACTGTAAAGGAATACTTACCTCAAATATGTCATACTGTACGTTGATGTAATAGATACAGACAATGGGTATGATTTTGCGAATTATCTTATATGAAAATAGTCTATCACATTTTGCTCAATTATTCGTTTTTCTGGAACTATAAAAGTTGTAAGAATCTTTAAGAATATTAATAGGCATTTTTAAAATCAAAGTCATATTTATCAATATTACGTTCAATGGGAACTTGCTTGCCTACATTATATACAGATATTTAATTGATCAAGAATAAGAGACGTGAACTTCCTTTATCACAAGACTGCTCAACTGTACCTTTAGCTGATTTCACAAACATAGGCTGATATGAATCACGATTGTTGATACGACTAACCTAACATATGCTGAAACCACCTATAAATGTTGATATTACCTATAATGTTGATATTACCTATAAATGTTGATACTACTTATAAATGTTGATATTACCTATAAGTGTTGATACTTCCTATAAATGTAGACATTACCTATATATGTAGATATTCCAATGATAAAAAGATCTTTATCACGTCTGTTTCTACATACCAAGTAAACACTAACGGTTGAAGACTAAGTTGTGAACGTGATAAAGGGTTTTAGAGACACATTTCCATTTTCGTTGTAATCTAAATATGTTTTGGAACACTTTAGACATTTATTCTTTGGACTTAAGCTACATTGATAAATCTGAATTGGACAAAATGACCATATGCAGCAATACATGTTTTCTTTGTTTGGATTGCTGCATCGACAAACAGAACTGTTAACTTGGTGCTTCCTTCCATCGTGTTACTGGTATTTGTTCACATGTATTCCACAGAACTAGTGTATCGATGACATCAAAGATTGCTGATAATCGACACAAACACGAAGCAGAACATGTATTGATATCTTGTAAAGCCCTTTCTTTATAAATAGCATATTATCTGTTATAATAATATATAGAATTGGAAATAACAAAAAAAAAAAAGTATGATAACAATATGGTGCTTCTTGCTTTAAATAATATTGATTGGAATTTGTGACCAATCAAAACGTTTCTTATCTGTTAATTTCTGACAGTAGTATGTATCTGTTACGTTGTATACAATGTCTGAATATCTATTAAAGTGTTTGAGTTCACACTTTCGGTTTCTTCTAGTTTTATTGGGCGTCTTTATCTAGACAAGCTATATTGATTCTAATTGCAGATGACGTCTTCATAATTGTCAATATCAGTTTGAACGATATCTCCATGTCCTTAATCCTGCTTGGCTTCACTTTTTAGTATTTATTAGATCATAGTCAGAATATACAAATCCTGGGTCTAAGCAGACTATCAAACTTCATAGTTACTAATCATGCAGGTCATGATAACGATTATTTTTTCCTTGGGGAGTAGATTGAAGTCTCTACATTTTGTTTTCCCTAAAATGGGAAACTATTTTTCGAGGCTGAAGGCCAGGTAAAATAGTCTGTCTTACTTTGTTCTCGTTTTCATACACATTTTTATAACAGTAACAAAATGAGGAGGAGGTGTGTGGTTGTGGGGATCGAAAAGATAGCATACAACACAACACAAAGGAGGAGTTCAGGAATATTATTTGTTTCCTACATAACATTTGAAACCTGTCGGTATATCTCACACGACAGATAATGAAATATCATAGCTGTTAATCAAGCAGGCAGGCCAAGCTGATTAATATACTTTTTATCAGGAGTAGATTGAATTCTCTCCCACAGATTATCTCCGATAGAAACCCCTTTTAACGTTATTTATTTGTCAACAGGGGAAACAATCTATCTAGAACTCCCGAAAACAAAATTGAAATGTTACCGACTTATCAAAAACATATTCAAGTTTAATGAGCATTTAATAAATGCAAAATAAAAACCATCCTTGTTATCTTTCTCCGAATCTACGTCATAACCCCCGAACACAACTTCATTTCCCACAAAGCCCATTGTTATATGTTGTATACACGCACTAGAATTGAATGCAAAATAATGCCATATACAAATATTTCTTAAAACAAATATGTCAGCAGTGCTTTTATGTGACAAAGATGATCAATACTATACAAACACTGGGTAAGGTTTACTGTAATGTTTCGTGGGGGAATGAAGGCCAATGTCAATACCATCATGTAGCTACAATTGCTACTCTCAGGTGACAAGGGTATCAGCCGGACCTCAACAGTTCAACCCCTCTCACCCAAATATGGTAAAATAAAATCACACATTTTCCGGTCTTTGATATACAACATAATATTATTTAATATGAATTAGAATATCCGTGACTTTCAGAGGTTATTGCAGAATACCGTGATCTATGTTGGCTAACACTATTGGACACTTAATAAAATACGTCAACATTCGAATTAATGCACACAGGTGTGGTCATTTGAAAGGAAATGTGATATATGTTGTATTTATTTTACCCTGTATATGTATAGGTCATTTACAAAATAAAGGATTGGGTTGGGGGTTAACACAATACCATACTCTCTCACGTTCTATAATTGGTATATATATCCGTTTTATATCTTACACGGTAGGACTTTGCAAACTTCGTAATTTCACACATTGTTGGATATCCCATTGAATAGTATAGCTCTACATGTCTATTTCAAATCGCAAATTCAGTTCTTTATTACCTTGAATCTTACGGCTCACGAGTTCAAAATAAACATATATACAAAAATAAACAATGCAATCACAAACCCATATCGACACACACACACACAAACACACACACACACACACACACACACACACACACAAATACATACACACACATACACAAACACACACAAATACATACACACACATATGCATATCTATTGGTATAGTGTAGAGAGACATTCCTCGTTGTATTGGTACATAGTCTTTTCTTTTCTTATTACTCAGCTTAATATATTTGGCTAAATTTGTTATCTGATTTTCGTTCACTGTTTCCTTAAGTTGGATAAATTTATGTTAGGTCATTCATAGTAATATTTCTTAATAAAACGCTTTCTTAAATCTACAAAACATATAAAATGAAATTCTTCTTCGATATCCGCACTGTTGCAGTATGCACATGTTCTTTCAATCCTATCTAAATCTTTATACTTACCAATTTCAATATTTAATTTGTGAGATGACAGTCTAATTTTTGTAATTTCTTTCATATTTGTATTTCGTATTGGTTTTGTTAGATATGGTTGTAAACAGACATTTTCGTCAATAAAATTGTACAGTGAACACTTAGAAGATGAATTTACGTTTTCTTTATATTCTTGCTTTAATATACACACATTCTGCTTTTAGTCATTTTAATAATATAATCGGATGTATAGGTATCTCCATATTGCCATATGTATCCTACTACCATTCTAAAAATTGATATTTTATAAACGGTCCACCGAATGATAATAAGCTTCCACACGAACAGACCGTGGTTAGATTCCTGGGAAAACTGTGTGGGAATGTTCCCTCTTTGAACCCGCCACAATAATTGTCCTCCGCCACAGAATAAAAACAGAGTATCCAGTGCCTAAAATAAGATAAAAGTCCAATATGAACTAAATAAAATAAAATTAGACTGAGCAAGCAAACGAAGAATACAGTAAATTAAAAGAATTATTATGTCATACTATCAGCATCTAAAAACGAAATATACATAAACATCGATACGAAAGACACCGACGAGATACCAAAACAAAAGACATTTTAACTAACCCCTCTCAAAATGCCAAACAAACAATAACAAAAACAGTGGAAAAGAAACAAAATGTCTAAAAAGATTGGATGAGCAAGTTGTTTAATTGCGGTTCACAAAATACTTAAGTCTCTTAGTCGAAATCCGATAAATAACAAAACACCGTGACAACATCATTTACTTAGAATACTGAACAGAAACTTCAATGTGTGGACTGCATAGCCAGTTAAGTGCAACGGACAAGTACTAGAAAAACAAGCAAATTCGTGGAATTTATATCCCCCGCTTGTAGGACATATTGTAGGTTAACATTATTGAGGTTATGTTTAAACATGTGAGTATCGTGCTGTTGAGACATAAAGTATAGCTTGAAACTTGAAGAAAAAACCTATACCTCATTGATTATTCGTAAATATGCACAAATCACATCGGTTGGCAAACTTAACATGAGTTGGATGTGCATAAGGAATTTGGTTGAAACATCTGAACAATATCTACAGCAACAAGTACTAATTGTAATGGGGGACCATTACAAATGTCCCCCAAACTGCCCCCATAGTCGCAAAGATGCATCAGAAAAGGATCGCATTGCCATAATACACCTACAATGTACATACTAAATTTGAGTGAAATTGAGCAATTTCTAAATTGCAACCAATCAGAATCCTCTGTGTATATACGTAGTTGCTATGGCTACGGAAAGTATGCGATTGAATTTGCAGTCCCCTAATACCCATATATACCATTTTTCATCGAAATCAAACAATATCTTTACTGCGACCAATCAGAAGCCTCCGTGTGGTTGCTATGGTAACGAAACTTTTATTCGCAGTCCCCTAATATCCCTATATACCAATTTTTATAAAAATCGAAAAAATATATAAATTTCGACCAATAAGAAGCATCCATGGGGTTGCTATGGCAACGAAACATATGCGGTTGAATTTGCAGTCCCCTTATACCCCTCTATAACGATTTTCATCAAAATCGAACATTATCTGAATTTCCACCAATCAGAAGCCTCTGTGTGGTTGCTATGGTAACGAAACTAATTCGGTTTTATTCGCAGTCTCCTAATATCCCTATATACAGATTTACATCAAAATCTAACCAAGTTTGAATAAAATCGGTTTACATTTGTTATTGCACAGAAAAAAAAACCAGCAGATAGGTTTCGGTATTCAAGGGGCCATAACTCCGCCAAATGGGGTCCGCTGAACGTGGTCATCGAACTTGGCTGAGCCCTTAAGGCATTTAACCCTGTGACCATGTTTGAAGTAAATCGGTTAACATTTGTTGTAGTTATTGCACGGAAACGAAGCGTGGCAGATAATGACGTTTTTCTTTATTGGTCATCGAACTTGGCGGAGCTCTTAAGTCATTTAACCCTGTGACCAAGTTTGAAGAAAATTGGTTAACATTTGTTGTAATTATTGCACGGAAACGAAACGTGACAGACAGACAGACAGACCCAAACTAATATCCCCCGTTTCGGTGAAAGCGGGCGATAAAAATTGCTACATAGAACAATCAAAGTACTGAATCTAGTCCAGACACATGCTTTCCAGTATTTCTTAACATTTTCTTCAGGTTGGTAAGTATGGATTATGAGAAGTTCTTTTTACACAACCAATAAAATGTCTATGTTACGTTTCGATGACTAGTACGATATGTACACTGTCACCTGCATCAGACAAATGGCCAATGAAGCGTCTGCACATAAAGGTGTAAAACGTGTATGAGTTATCCACAAAATCGATGTCGATTACGGCTACGCTGGAAACGTATGTACAATAGTCGTTAAATATGTACCGAAATGACTCAATTCAGGGAGATCTTCATCAAGGATTTTTTTGATTTTTTTTATGAGAGATCATGTAATCCCAGTGTATCTAAAACAAATATGTGATAAAATGGCTTCGATGGACAAGTTTGAATCCATATAGGGCGACAACTGCACATGCAGTCCATTTAGTGATCACGTGTTCAATCTTTATTGCAGATAATAATATCTTCAGTTTCGATCCAGTTGTTTTTGATAATTGCATTAATTTGGATTTATTCACATCTTTCAAAGCTTCCTGTGCTGCCTGAAATATGAGAAAGAATACAGCATTTAATGATTTGGTTGTTTTCATTGTTAAAAGGTTTATTTTATATCATATTTAACAGTCATTTTTATTAGTCATGCTTTTTCCATGTTCAACAGTTTTTATTATATTTTCTTTAAAACTGACTAGGGTCGGATCCAGATTTTTTGCGGACAGGTATTACCATTCCAATTTATTTTGCTACGCATGTA